TCTCAAAATGACTTGCCCAAGGTCACAACTAGTAATTTTCAGAGCTGGCACTTAGATTTAGCTTGCCTGATTCTGGAGGTAATTTTCTTAGCCGTGTTGCTTAGGGTGAGACAGTAGCATAATCTTCATCTGTGAGAAAATTTTAGCTATGGTCATGGATAAACGAAGCCCAGCCAATCTCCAGGCCAGGCTGACAAACTATTGGGTTTGCTCTGACCTTATCTAACTGGAACCTATGATAAAGACGGCTTCTTGCTCTGAGGCACACCACAATCTAGTCAGCTTTGCCTTTTCTCAGGTTCCTACGTAGCACTTCTAAAGTGAAAATTTAAGAAAAATAGCAACTTCTACGCCCATTTGAAATCTGTTGTAAATCATCAAACCATTTCTATTTCTCCTCTTCATAGGAAAAAAAAATCAGCCTCCCGGTAGCTAAAGCTGTGCAAGAGAAGGTCACCAATCATTGTGCCCACTGGTTTTGCCAATGAAGTGAAAGTAAGTGAAGTTTATATTTGTCTCCTTGTTTTTCAACATTTGTCAGTTCTTCTGGAGCAGGAGATGTGGCATAGCTGTTCAACACTTGAACTCTGTGACTAGACATATCATTTTAGCACCTAGAAAGGATACAGTTTTAGCAGTTTGAAGAAAAAATAATATCCTCATAGAGATACTGCAAAACCAGGAGGCAAGATAAAAATCTGCCTAAGAGCTCAAGAAGTCGCATAGTTTCTACACAAAAACTGAGACTTATGAAAGTTTAGAGCAATGAAAGCTACTTTATGTAAATTAATTTGAAGGGCTGTTACATGTTACAAAGCCTATGTGTCGCTTTGGTTGCAATGGATAATAGCAGTAATGATAACAAAGATAGCTTCAGCGGACTCACGGTGCTTCATGGCCTGCATGGTCCTTCCTGACTCACTTCCTCTTTCCCAGGTCTTCAGGGAGCTGGTTCCTCTGGCCCTTCTGGCTTCTGGTTTGATGTTTCCTTTTCAGAGATTATATGCAAGCACTTCACACTACTGTGCTTTCGAATTTTTACAGTCCTTACCACTGTTTTCTTATGTATTTGTTACTTTGCTTGTTTCTCTCTTGACCTAGGAGGGTGTAAGTTTCCTCAGGACAGTTTGTTGGATTTTCTGTCTCTAGAACCCAAAACAGTACCTGACGTTTAAGTAGACACTCAAGGAATAAGCACTTGCTGCATAGCCAAATAGATTCTTTCATCTTGTCTCTATCACAACCCTCTGGGCTAAGCATGCTGATATTTTACAAAGGAAGAAACTGAGTGGAAAATATTAACTTCCCAAGTGGAGCTGGTAGGATGGTTGAACAAACATCGTCTTAACACACACATTATGTTTAAAAGAAATTGGAAAGGTTATCTGTTCAGTCTCTTCATCTCTGAGCATGAATGGCCTCAATTTTTGCTATAAAGATATTTTATCTTTCAGTTTTCTAGAGGAGACTCCTAGGGTCACTTTGTCACATTTAGTTTTAGTGTCTCAAAATCCTGTCTTTCCATTATCATTTTTAAAACTGAAAAGTTTCTCTATAGAAAACAATGAAAATTTTCCTAGCAATAGGTAAGAGATGAAATATACTTTTAGTCTGGCACAATCCTGCCACACAGGTTACTACCAAAATACCTTGCTGTTAATCATCCCTGAGAATATAAGATAGACAAGACAAATATGTATTTTTAATGGGTTGATTATATTACAACTTGTTTCATTATATTTCACATGATATGTTGTTGAGATATTTTTGTATTGCTATTTATTTATATAGTGTTGTGTCTATATTACATTTCTATTATGAATAAGCAGACACCATAACTTACTAAATCAAAAGTTTTTTTCTCTTGAATTTTATTCTTTTAGCATGTCACACTAAGTACCTCTTTTTTTCAGTAGTAATACCGATATGTAATACATATACCATAAAATTTATCCATCTTAAGATTCTATTAGTTTTCAGACAGTTATGTAAACCTTATCATAATCCTGTTTTAGATGGCTTCCAGATGAATTCTAATTTTCTTTTTAAAAGGGGGAAAAGTAGAATAAACTTTTTGATTTAAAGATCCCACTGACTTAGAATTTACTCATAGGTCATAAAAATAGGTACCCTTTATGTACAAAAGATTACATTCGGGCAATCAAAGCGTCTTGAGCCTCATTTTATTTCCCTGTTGAAATGACAATACAGTATACTCCCTTATCTATGGTGTGCTTTCTGCAGTTTCCTTTACCTATGGTTTACAAATGGGCATGTGTGGTCTGAAAATATTAAGTGGAAAATTCCAGAAGCAAACAATTCATATGTCTAAAATCATGCACCGTTCTGAGCACCATGAGAACATGTGTCCCACCAACTCCTCTGTCCTGCCCACATGTGAATCCTCCCTTGGCACAGCGTGCCCACACTGTACACCATTCAGCACTTCATCATGGTCATCAGATTGACTGTGATGGCATCACAGTGCTATGTCTCAGTAATCCTTTACTTAATGACTCCAAGAATAGGGATGCTGGCAATTTCATTATGGTAATTAGTCATTGTTAATTATATTTATTAATCTCTTACTGGGCCAAATTTATAAATTAAACCTCACTAGGTGTACATGTATAGGAACAAACAGTATATGCAGGTTTGGTGCACTCCTGACATCAGGCATCCCGTGTGACTTGGAAGGATCCCTCTAGGATAAGAGGATAAGGGGGCTGGTGCACTCTGCATTTCTTCTTTCACAGGCTGTGCACCATTTACATGACTGTTCTTTACCACATGGAATGAAGTGTGGGAACCTTATTTTCATTTGTATCCCTTTACCCACCCTGCCTTTTAAATATAATTGTCTATTTCTGTTGTATATATTGAGCAACATGACATAAAATATGATAATTTTTATTTTAACAATCAACTATTAAGAAACTCTTGAGAAGTGGATTAAGATATTATACCACCCTTTTGCCATTTCATTTTCCTTTTTACCCCTACCCAGCACTATGTAAACATGACTGAGTTTTTTTTTCAATTTTTCAATTTTTAAAATTTGTTCATGTTTGCAGTACATAATGATTACATTTCTCCTGGGGAGGTGGCGCGTGTTAGTAACACAGCACAATTCTTTTTCACCCCTTCCTCTCCCCTCCCTCACTCTCCCTTTGTCTCTTGGTCCCCTTCCTTTTGCAGAAGATCTGCAGGCCTGTGTATTTAAATCTTTCTCCTTCCACCTCCCCTCCTTCCTTTTGTTTCCTACCCACTTGCCAAAGTTGTATTTGTTTAAGGATATTATTCCGGTTTCTTTCATTTTTATTGGGGTTTTGGTTGCTCTGTTTCTGCCTGTAGCCTTGTTAGTGAGTAGAGGGAGGCAGTCTGAGCTGAAAGCAGCTAAGGGTTTGGCTACACCCAGCCACAAGGTAGCCCATAGCCTCATACAAATTACTTAGGTCTCATTTATCTAGTTCTGTAAAATAGTAGTAATAAATGTATAGGGTTATTAGTAGTATCAAATGAATTGGTATGTAAAATACTTAGCAAGTGCTTAACACTTGGTAAGCATTTGATAAATGATGACAATTATTATAGTTTACAGAAAGTTTCGGTGTTTGTGTAGTCATATTTATCTTTCCAATAGCCATAGGTGCTATGTCTAGGAATTACCTTAAATCTATATGAATAGTCACCTATGTTTTCTTCCAGAAAATTCCAGAATTTCTATGATCTTATCATTAACTCATATGGAATGTATTTTGTTGCATATTTTATGAAGTGAAGATCTGACTACAATCCTTCATACACATAAGCTATACATATGATTAATCAGATTTTCAAATATTTATTGAATAAATCATCCTTTGTTCACAAATTTGAAATGCTATTTTTGTCTTATACAAAATTGACACATATATTTTACCAGTTCCTGTGTTGTCTCTTTTCTTTCATAAGTGTGACTATTCTGCTCTATTTTATTATGACTTTATAATTTGTTTTAATATCTGATAGTGTCAGCTCATAATTAAATCTTTGAAAGTTTGTGTGGTATTCTTGTATATCAATATCTTTAACACTAACTTTAAACTTGAAAAACTGATGCTTAAATAATCCTGCATAGTATTAAATATATAGATTAATTTTATGAAGAGTATCTCTTGGAATGCAATATTCCCATATATGAAAACAATGTGTCTCTGTTTATGTTTTTATTTTATTTTATTTTATTTTATTTTATTTTGCAGAACCGGGGATCAAACTCATGACCTTGAGCTTGCCAGGCAGGTGCTTATGCCCTGAGCTATATCCTCAGCCTGTTTATGTTTTTAAATAAAAGGGTCTCAGTTAAACTTCATAATGACCTTGACATTAATAGTGAATATTGCTTGTTAAGGTTATTTCTAGGTATTTCATATATTTTGCAATTGTAAATGGTATTTCTTTGACCATTTTCCCCTCACTAGTTATTGTTCTTATATAGAAATTATTTTTGTAAATTGCTATTTTGACCACCTACGTTATTGTACTTATCCTTCCTCAAAAGTTAAACTGATTTGATTGAATTTTTCAAGCAATCACATTATTTGCAAATCTAGTAATTCAGTCTTCTCATTTCTAATATTTATAACAAATTTTCCTTATTATATTACATTGGCCAGAACATTTGAAACACTATTGTATAACAACAGGGACAGAAATTCTTGTTTTTCTCTCTCCCTAATGATGATGTTCTTATCTATGCTGGGAAGCTTCTTATATTTCGCTCCTGAGGATAATATTGGATTCATCCCCAATATACTTATCTTTAAATATGTCCTTTCTTATAAATTAGAATCAATAGAAACAGAGGACAAAAGCTCATCATGCCTTCCTCCATTCTAACAGCATTTCTCTTAGTGACTGACAGTTCTTTCAGTGAAAATTTATATGTGCTCCTGAGTCTTCCAATAGTTGATTGGAAAAAAAATGATTTCATTGGTTTTTGTTGTTGTCGCGGTTACCTTTGCAGAGGAAAGGCTGATGATGTGCTGATCTTTTTCATTGGTCACGATTTCGGTGATGCTGAACATGTGTCCCACCAGCTTCCCCACAGGCTTGGTGCTGATGTAGGGGTGCCACAGCCGGAGGACTTTATCTTCTCCTAAAGAGGAGCACAGCCAAAGATTATTTTCTCAACTGGCCAGAGTTTAAAAAGGACCCCTTTCAATCCTATCCTTATGCTTCTTCTAAATCACAACCAGTTCTGTGGCCCGCATTCTGTGATTGCCCTGCTGAGGGACTTGCCTTGTGGGGGATCTGCTGCTTTTTGTACCAGTTGCTTTGTGATGTTTGTATTTAGGCATACAAATGTGAATTCTCATAAATATTTTATGAGTACTTTTCTCGATTCAATACTACCCTACTCCTTCATGCATTAATGTATTATTTATACTTTATTTACTTCCAAAAAGTATTTAAGGCAGCTGTTCTTTAGATTTCACATTCTTAAATTATGCAAACATTATAATAATAAAAGAAATCAAGGGAATAGGAAAACTGCACAAAATTTCCATCACTGGAAACAAATCAACTGTTTTTATTTTTCTGTCTTCCCTTCAAACACATTTCCATAAGCACATATAATTTCTACATAAGTAATATCATACCACAGATTCTTTAAATTATTACAATCATCATGCTACATGGTAAAAGGTTTAAACAGTATAGAATAATATAATTTTTATTTAAAAATGTCTTCTGTTTCCCATGATTCCTAGCTTCACTCCACTCCTTTAGGCAATGTTGTTAACTTTTAAAATACTAATTATACATGCTTCTAGATATATTTTAAACCCATTTTTTGAGATGAGGGTGTTACTCTGTGCCTACACTAGCCTTTAACTCCTGCATTCAAGCAATCTTCCTGCCGCAGCCTGTAGGGGAGCTGGGGACTACAGGTGTGCACAACACGCCCATCATTTCTTGTTTATGTTTATAGAAAACCAAGGGCCCAGGCTTTTATAACTATAATTTTAGTTGTAATTTCAGTTTCCTTCTTAAAATGTATTTTCATTTTTAATTTGTGTATACTAATTGTACATATTTATGGGATATAATGTGATATTTCAATACATGTATGCAAAATGTAATGATCAGATCAGGCTAATTTTGTTCTGCTGTTTTTTTTTTTTTTTTTTTTTGAGACAAATGTAATCCATTCTGATCTTGAACTTGCTATGTTACCCAGGCTGGACTCGAACTTGTGATCTTCTTGCCTCAGCCTTCTGAGTGCTTGGATTACAGCTTGTACTGAACTATGTCTGCTAATTTTATCTTCTTCTTCTGTGAACTATATGACCACATCCTTTGCCAGAGATCTGTTGGCATTTTAATGACATTAAAAGTGAAAATTCAATCAGAAATCTATGGTCATGTGTGTATACACACATACACACACTCATGCATGCATTCAGTTTTATGACAAAGCTTGACTAGTTGTCTCCTCAACCCCAGAAAGAGTACATAGCTAGAGTATTTCTTTCCCAGGATACCTTGCAATTAGATGTGGTCAAATTGCTAACTTTTAGTCAGTGAACTACAAGAGTTTATTTTAGATTTCACATGACTGAAAAGAAAAAACTTCCCTTGTGTTTGAGTCATTTACACTTTGGAGTTTATTTGTTACATCAGCCTACATTATTTGAAGGAATCCATAGTTGTAAACTATTTATATTTTTAAAAAGTAATCTATACCACTTGTAATAGTATATGAAATAGACTATTTTAAAAATATTACGTTTTCTATTTCACAAATAACTCATTAAATGTCATCCTGAAAGTTGAGTCATAAACATATCAAAGAATTTCAAGTGGGGGAACCCTAGAAATTATATATTCTAGAACTCTAACATCACAAGAAATGAACTCCCAAAGATTACATGAGTTTAGTTAAATGATTCATTAAATGATTTAATTTGATTTAGGTATTTAAATATGATTTGTTCAGAATGACATCAGAAAATGGAATCTACTTAGAAATACTATAGTTCTAACATTCCAAACAAGCACCTTAATTATGAGGGAATGTTAGCTTACTAAGCAAGGTTCTATAATAGCTTATAATCTAAGCTATGATTAATGTATAACCTAAGGTATTAAGAGCCACAATTTACATATACATATAAAAACCCTAAAATTCAGTGTAATTATTTTAATTCATCTGGTAGCATGTATTTGGACATCCACAGGATCTGCTTGGTGATACATACTGTTTTTTGTATAAATAGACTAATCCACTGAAAGAGCCAACAAAATATGGGGTGACAACCAGGTGACTTTGTAATTGGACATTGGTAAGCCAGCCAAGTGTGATAGATACAGATGTCTCTGTACTTCTGATTATTCTGTTTGGCCCCAAGAAAAAGGAACATAATATTTTCTCTGCCTTTTTCTTACTCTCTCGATCTATCTTTCATGTCAGATAATGGCTAAGAATATCCTCATACGCTTTAAACTCAGTGCCCGGCTAATGTGCCTCCCATATTTATCATCTTTTACTATTAAATTCTTTTGTCTGGATCTTCTTTTAGAGTTTAAGTGGTTTGAAGGAAGAACTTTTTCTTATGTAGTGTGGTAACTCTATTGTGTAACCTATCGTAAGAATTCAACTAACATTCATTGAACAATTTCTGGCTTTGAATGCTGGGGTGATGAATCACACCTCACAGGTCTAGCTATCAAGTGCTGACGGAGGGAAAAGCATGAATCTCAACAAAAGGCATCTTTGTTCAATGTTCATCTAACTCCTTCGGAAAAAAATCACCTGTTTTATTTCTGAGGCTCTCAGATTTGGAGATGAGAAGAAGCAGGTTGGAAAAACAAATGGTATAGCTGATTCTCGGTTTCCATTTTTCAAGCCACTGCTTGGGACTGAATTGTATCTCCTTAAAATTCACATGTTGAAGCTGTCACATTCAGTGTGATGGTGTTTGGAGATGAGGCCTTTGGGAGACAACTTGGTTTAGATGAGGTTGGGGGGACAGTCATGGAGGGACCAGTGCCTGACAAAAATAGGAACCAGAGAGCTTGTTCCCTTCCCTCACCATGTGGAGATACAGCAAGCAGAAGGCCACCTACAAGTGAAGAGGACAGCTGTCCTTGGGAACTGACCATGCTGACACCTTGCTCTTTAACTTCTACTCTCCAGAGCTGCAAGAAAATATATTTCTATTGTTTAAGCCACTCAGCCTATGATACTTTGTTCTGGAAGCTCAAGCTGATTAAAAGAGGAATCAAGCTATTTTCAGAACTATAATAAAGGAGTAAGTGGGATATTACTTCAATTTAAGACTTCATGCTAACCTTATCAATGTCAAGAACAAACATTTCTTGAGAAAATTTTTTTTTTTTCCGGTACCAGGAATCGAACTCACAACCTTGGGCTTGCCAGGGAGGCACTGTGCCACTGAGCTAAATCCCCCCAGGCCTCTTCAGAAATTATTATATGCTAGTATTCTGTTAGGTACTAACAATCCAAAGAAACTCTACATATTGTCCTTGCCAAAGTCTACTTTTCCAGAATGCTAAAACATATTCTTTTAGAATTAATTCCAAGATTTCCTCTCCAGTGCCTTCTCTAACCACCCATTCCAGACCCTGGTGGACTTAAGGCTCGTAATGTGTTCACAGGATGTTTTCATCAGATTTCTTTTATAGTACAAATCCTATTCAACTATGGTTGTTCATATCTGCTTATTGTTTATCTAATGAGTGCTGTATTTCTCATTTGTGGCAATGCTTGACAAATAGTGTTTGATTCATGTTTGCCAAGTAAATGAATCAGTTAGTAGAGCCACTCATGAAACAATAGTACATATTTTGAGTAAGTCTGTTTTGCTTTGAAACTTGGCTCTTTCACTACTAGCTCTATGAACTTGAATAAGTTGCTTTGCCTCACAATGTCTGAGTTGCATTACCTCTATGGTGGGAAAAGTGAACCTTTGCCATAGTTTTATTTTGAGAATAAGTGCAAACACACAGGTATAACTGAACAGTCCCAAGACTGTAAGCTGAGCATTACTACTACTACAGTGCTACTATTACCATTATTATTAGTAGTAGTATTCTAAATCCTTGTGCACACACGCACACACACTCACACACACACACACACACACATCCATGAAGCATGCTGCCTGCTTTTGAATGTGTATAATCCAGTAATAGCGATAAGGCAAGCATGAACTATACAGAAGGAAAATAAATATTCGTAGGAGGTATCAAATCTGAGGATGGGACTTCATAAGTAAAATGGTTCATTCCCTCTTTCTTTGCTATTTTCCATTTGATTTTTTTCGCTTTTTACTAAGCAGGATTTAGATAAAGCCACTCATCAGATATAGGATTTTCTTTCTCTTAGCAACTGCTTATCTGACTTGGTGAGTCACTTGATCCAAGTGCATCACTGCTGATGACATGAGCTGGCTCAGTTCACAGAGAAAAGCAAGAGCGAGAGAGAGGACCTCTGAATGAGGCAGATTACAGTGCTCTAGGAAGAACAGAGGCTGAGACAAGGACAAGTGACTCCACCTTACCTCTGCCAGCTGAGGCGCTGAGTGACTTGTGGCAAATTGTTTTCTTTATGGGGCCTCAGGTTTTTCATTTTTAAAATTATGATCTTCCAGCTCTGAAAAGTTTTATGATTTTTTTTTGCTCTGGAAAGCAGGTTACTACAGTGAGAGCAGAGGGCAACCTCACATTATGCACAATGAGAATGCTTTCAGGTTTTTAGTTACATGCTTCAGACTAGGTACTTCCAATACTTCAGCATCTTGCCTGCATTTGCTTTTCACAGGCAATTGCCAAGAAGTCGCACACTACTGAGGTATGCTCAGGACCCTAAGCCTCAGGCCCACAGATAGTGTTGGGCCGTGCTGGCTGAGGCCTTCCCCACAGTGGGCCTAATCACTCCTGGAAGGTGAGGCTAGGCTATTCTCAGAAGGAAACTGATAGCTTGTGTGTCTCAAGAAAAAAATGCAATAGCATACTTTCATCGGACACATCTCTATGTCTCTTAAACTGCAGCGTGAAGGAAACTCAAGTCTTCTAGAGGCTCACTACTTACTGGCAGATGTCATCCAGCTTTGCCTGCTCCCATTGCTGTTAATGGAGCTTTTACATAGTCTGTGTGGTGGCTTTTCAAAACCAGAATGGGCAGAAAGGGACATTATACCAAGCTCTCAATGCCTCCAGTATTTCATCTATATTACTGTTGTGATGCTTGTCCTCATCACCTATTGACTCACACTGTATATTATAGCCACCCATAAACTTATCTTATCTGTACTATGAGACTTCAAATTCTTGAAGGTTAGGAATACAACCTGGTACTTTTAAGGTTAATGGAGCCTCGTTGATTGTACTGTGTAGAAACTATTCATTGAATGAAACTTTTTTTTTTGGTTTTTCTCCGGTACCGGGAACCGAACTCATGATCTTGCGCTTGCCAGGCAGGCGCTTTGCCGTTGAGCTAAATCCCCAGCCCCTCATTGAATGAAACTTATCAAGAAGAAAACACTTGCAGAGCCTCCAAGTTATCTTGGATAGCAGAAAATTGTTCTCACACACTGAACCTTTCACATAAGGAGCTGGATTCTTGAAATAATTAGTGGAGACAGCAATGAGTAAAATATTCTTGATGGTCACCAAAATAATGCTCAAGAAACATGAATTTTTTTTTTTTTTTGCAAATACCTTGTCCTTTTTTCTCCCCTACCAAAACTGCTTTTCAGGCTTATCAAAAGCCCCTTCACATTTAACACATTCAAGCACGCTTAGCAAAGCAGCTTTTACTGAATATTTTGTGTCACCAGCTGGTACATACTGTACATTTAGCATGTGCTTAGCTGAGTTGCTAATCAACAAGAGTATTCTCCTGGGAAAAATGTGTTTTCTGTTATTGAGAATTTGCATTTTTTACTAATAGAGGCTCCATAACTGTGACAAGTTAATAAATTATGCATGGTGAAAAGTATTAGCTGCTTGTTAGTCATGCTGCTAAATGTATGATTGTCTTCATGAAAACTAGAAAACTTATAATTAGTAAGTTTTCAGAGCTGTAAGTTAGGATTTTACAGTATAACGAACCCTGAGGTTAATGAGCCAAATAACTTGAACCATAACGCTGAAATAATTTAAATCCAAGAACTTTACAAAATAATTTCCCCCCAATGATGAAAGTATTAAGATTAAAAAGTGTATTGAAACTGGTATTCTTAAAGTTGTACTCTTTTGTGTGAGAACAAATGGTTGTCCAAAGGAGCTGGTTAAGATTAATATGACAGCATCATGTGACAATCATATTTTAGAAATCAAGCCTCACTTTAGCCATACATGTAAGTGCTGCTTTTCTAAAGGCTTTGTGTGAATGGCGTGGGCAGAAGCATAAGGAAAGGCTGATATTTTTACTTAACGAAAGGTATGCAGTGGTATGTGAACAGATTATTGCTGTGGGCATTGCTGTAGTTTGAAATGTAAATGCCCCCCAAAGACCCATGTGTTTAAAGGCTTGGTCTCCAGGGTGTGGTGCTACTGGGTGGTGGTGGAATCTTTAAAAGGTAGGCCCTGCCCTGTTTGGAAGAAGTTAGGTCACTGGAACATTGCATGTTCTTGGAGGGGATGTTGGAACCCCGCTCCTTCCTGCATCTCTATCTTTGTTCTCTGGCTGCCATGAAGGGAACAGCCCTTCTATGCCATGTGCTCCCACATTGATGGACTGTGCTACCACAGGGCTGAAGCAACAGAAGTGAGTCAAGATAAGCCTTTCTTTCTCTTAAGTTGATTATTTCAGGTATTTTGTCACAGTAATGGAAAACTGACTGTTACAGCCATGTTTGGCGTTTTATCTCCACCATACTATGCATCCTCCTCTCCTCTCCTAGAACATCCCCTATCTTCTTCTGACATATATAGTCCAGGGCAGGAAATGTTGTCATTTATTGCAAATGATAAGCCAAGATAATCATCAATTCTGGAAGAGGCCACGGGGATCAAGAATGCTGACATAAGCATCACATTTCTTTCCTGAAAACATCTAATTCTAGCATCTGTTCCTTCGTGTGTTTGGGACCTCCATGGGAAGCTCTTTAGATGATCACGGTACTTAGAAACTCAGATTCCTGTTTGTTCCTGTTTGTTCTTAGAATCATTGCCACCAAGTTTCAGGAAACCTGGTAACCGTCTAACTCATGACTCCAGGATAATCACTTTGCAGACTTTGTATCTATATACCTTCCTTCCTATTCTTGATTTCCTTCATTGAATTTTAAAAATCTGTGGCCATTAATGCTTTGCTTTTCTCAGTGTACAGAGCTATAACTTTATGTTGACTAACAGTGAATTAGCAAGCTGAGTTTCAGACTTTCCAACAGACCTTTTTAGTTTATCTCTTTTTGACCACACAGTTCTTTGAAAACTATAACCATAGGGTCAGCAGCATCTTGAAATGGATGTAGTTCAATTTCCTCATTTTACTGGATAAGGAAAACAAGCAACAGGGAGAATTCAAATGATTGTTGAAAATTACACAGCTTATTAGTTGTCAGGCTATGACTATGCCTAGTTCTTCTGGCTTCTAGTACATTGTTTTTATTGTTTTTGCTGTCCAGTAGATTCCTATATTATTTTGGTTAGACATTTGAAACATAAGGTAGTTTAAAGTACTATATAAGGTCTAAAGCTGAACACAAATTTTGATATAAATGTTACACAGTATACTTGGAAAAAGAATCAGCTTTGTATTTTCAGGGGAGATGACCTATCCCTGAAGCAGGAGCACAGCTGTCTCTATCCTTAGCAATGTAGGGACTTCAGGGGTGCAGCAGCTTACTCTAGATAGGAAACCCAGCATTGCCTACTGTGTGTGTGTGAGAATAAGGAATTTAAAGAACTCATATGAAAGGGATGCGTGGCACTTGCTCATTTAATACCTCATCTTTTTTACAGTATTTTTATTCTAAACTCTTGCCAAACAGTACATTTATTGAATATTTTGATAGATGTTCTTGTTTTTAAAAAGCTTCTTTGCTCATTTTGTCTTTAGACTTGTTTCCAATTCAGACTACTTCTGTTGCTTGTTTATTTGTGTGTCTGTTCTGTTTATCTGCATCTTTCAAGCCCGTGTGTCCCTGGTCTCCTCTAAGGTGACACTGGTCTCCTAGAAGGTCCTTAGAGCTCCTCTTCTCCCTCATCTCCAACCAGGTCTTTTTCCATCACTAAAAGGAATTTGTTTTTGGGTGTTTAATCAAACCTGACAGTTCTTGTTTGCTCCTTTTCCCATCTAAATTCCCTCTTCCTAATTCCTTTGTAACTGTCAACACAATTGCTGCTCTTCCATATCCTTCCAAACTTTGAGCTGGTTCATCTCTTTTACTAATGTCCCATAGTATTCTATCCCCACGTGTTATGAATCATTCACTTACAGCATCTTTTTCTTTTTTGATGCAGGGAACAAACCCAGGGTGTTGTTCAGGTTGAACTTCTTCTCTGTAATGGATCTACACCCTTAATAGTATTTTCTATATCTTCAGAGATTGGCTCTTTTCTTTCTTCTGTGATCCCTACAATGTCAGACCTCTCACGTATGATATCTATACAGCCTTCTAACTGCAGTCACAGATTTATTTATTCCAATAACCCCCCCACATCTACCAAAGTTCTTTTGCCTATGTGTTTCAAATAGATTGGATTAATATTGAGAACCTACTATGTGCTGGGTGTATATTAGCTCAATTAATCTTACTATCATATGAAATGTTTTTATCATTAATGTTTTATAGTATTATTATTATTATTATCAAACATATATTGAGCATTTAATATGTGCAAGACAATAAGTAATTATTTGAATTACTTTAATTTTATAAGGACCTTCAGAGCAGGCACTAACATGAACTCTACTTACAGATGAGATGGAAGATTTAGAGAGGAAATAACCTCCTCACCACACAACTTCAAGTGGATCTGAGCCCAAGCTCAGAGCCATCAAAATATATCAAAGCTCCAATTATTTTTTGAGACAAGGTCTTTCTATGTACCCCAGGCTGGCTGTATAGCGATTCTCCTGCCTCAGCCTCTCGAGTGCTGGGGTTACAGGCATATGCCACCATGCCCAGCCAAATCTCCAATATTATACAGGCAGTGTCGGCATGTCAAAGGCTATTTGAGTTTTCTACACTTCTCCTGAAACTTCTTATAGTCTCATCTTTCTCCTAACTCTCAGAAGATGCCCTCCTTTCCCACTTTCTTCCTACTTATTCTCCCTTGAAGGTTCATAGTCTTCAGGATTTTTTCATTGGCCCTTCTTTCTCTTGACTATAAACAGTTGGGTCTTCGTGATTTTTGTTATGGACTCCTGTTGAGCATTTCAGAAAAATTTGAACTTTCTTTCCAGAAAAATGAACATAGGTATTTAAACGTCCTTCCTTTAAAACACAGGAACATGTGCTCTTATGCATAAAATAAGTTCTAGATGGATTAAAACTCTAAAGATAAAACTAAACAACAGAAGAGATAGTAAAATACAAGAAAATTTACTTCACCTACTCTTGGGCTGAGGAAAGTTTTTCTAAGGGTGCCCTCAATTCCAGAAGCCGCATGAAAAGGACAGACAGGTTTGATTTAGACACATTTTTAAATTCCCTCAAGATTATTCCTAGCAGTACTGTTTGGAAAGCAGAAAACCCTCCTGTAACGTTCACTTTTCTTACCTCCAGTGATAATCACATTCGCTTTTACACAGTAGCAAAAAGTATTTGCTCCTTTTGGCATGGCAAACTCTCTGACAGGCCTGGGAAACACAAATTAGATGTAAAATGTATACACTTTTCTTTATAAAGCTAGTCCCAACTTCTAAATGGATTATATTTAGTAAGCTCATTTCTAAATTGTTTGTAAATCCATGTGCCCAGAGAAAATATAAATAATTATTAAGTCCTCAGTGACCCACAAAATCTACATACTTTATGCTGTGGTTTGGGGAAGTGTCCTCCAGAGGGGTATTACATAAAAAGCCTTGTTTCCCAGCCCATGGAGCTATCCTGTAGTGGAAGAAACTTAAAAAAAATGAAGTCTTCTGGGAAGTCTGCTGATCATTGGGGGCGTGTCCTTGAAGAGGACTGTCAGACCCCAGCCACCTCTTCTTCCTCTCTTTGTTTTCTGGTTGCTATAAGATGAACACTTTGTGCTACCATGTACTACCCCTCTTGACGTGCTACCTGGCCATAGGACCAAAGGCAACAAGGTCAATTAATCATGGACTCTAAAACAGTGAACTAAAGCCATTCTTTTTTAAAGTTGATTTATCAGGTATTTCTTACAGTAAATAAAAATGAACTAATACACATTTTAAAATGTAAAAAACATTCTTAGTTCGCTGATGTTATAGAAACTGGCAGGCCATTGGATTTGGCTGAGAGGGCATTTTTGGTTAATCCCTGCATAAGATGGCAGAACACGAAGCCCAAACCAGTGTGGGGCTATAACACCTTACCTCATATCCTCAGAACTTAATTTCTGTTTTTACCGATACTTTTCAGTGTATTTCTTAGTTCTTAGGTGAACAAACAAAAAGAACAGCCATGTGTGGTGGTGCATGCCTATAATCCCAGCACTCAGGAGGCTGAGGCAGGAAAATTGCTGCAAGTTCAGGCCAGCCTGGGCTATGTAGTGAGTTAAGGACCAGCCTGAACTATATAACAAGACTCTGTTTCAAAAAACAAAACAAAACAAAACAACACCAACAAAAAACAAGCAAAAGGGGCTAATACATACTGAGTGGTGTCTGTGCCAGGCATTAAACCAGCCACTGTTCATGAGTTAAGTAATTTTCATAAAACTATAAGGTAACTATATTCATTCCCATTCGCAGGTGAAAGAACTGATAGTAATGTGTTCAGTGGTTATAGAGGTGTTGAGTGCTGGGATATCTAACTCCAGTCTATCTAACTCCACAGCAACTTTACCAGAGGGGTGCTATTGCCTTTCCAGTATCATACCTGGAAGATGGGTAACTAGTAATTGTTATGTAAATGTAGCTTAGTTGTTTATCTCTTGCAGAGTGTCAAGCTACCAAAGGGTTAAGTGTTTAGTTTATGGGTGACAACAGCCCAACATGTTCTACAGGGCATAATTAATTACAGATGTTCATCTTCTTGCTGGTACAAAACTCCAATGCTGAAATTTCCATACAAAATTATAACCAGAATGGTAATCACTTCTGAAATGTAAATTTTTCAAGAGAATTTTGTTTCCTGCCTTTTGGGGAGCTGTGCTGGTTCCTATTTTAACAGCTGGCCAATTATGTATGTGTATAAAGACAGTCTCATCCGGCCCAACTTAAGACTCATAATAGGAAATTGCAGAAACAGGAAGATATTGAATGGAGGGAACCCAATTCTCATTCTATTGAGCTGGCTCTCCAGTGGATGGGATGGTTCAGGAAAAACATGATTGCACTGGATCACTTGAGAACCCTCTTTAGCCTTTAGATTTAGAAAGAGAGCGTGACCCATGTGACTAAATGAGGAAGTAGCTGAGAGGCTCAGCCAGAGTCTGAACAGATCAATGATCACTGTTTGCTGAGGTTGTCCTAGTATCTTTCTCTCCCAGTTTTCTGACTCTCACCTGATTAGATCACCAACTAAATTCCAAGAGATAGGAAGCCCAGAATTTGTCTCAAAGATAAACTCCTGACTACTGCAAAATAGATGCCCTTTGGCGTGAAGACCAGAACACTCTTGTTAGTTGGAAAATTAAAACTTCTATATAATCTAATTGTGTACAACTGCTAAGTACCAAACCTATGGAACGATATACAGAGTAGGAATTTAAATTCCCTACAATATCATTACATAAATTAAAAATACATTCAAACATACATTTTGAAGAAACATAAAAATATACATTAAACCTAATAGATTGGTTGCCTGTGTGTGTGTTTGTGTGTGTGTGTGTGTATCTGTGTGTGCTTGTGTGAATGGAAGGGTTGCAAGGATAAATATAAAATAAGAGAGAGCATGAGAGTGCGATTAGTTCATCTCTGCTCTTGAGATTTCCTCACCAGAAAAAAATTCAATGTGTCTATAATTGTGCTATTTCCAGGGCATACTTTTTCCAGACAAAAACAAATTATCTACACTGAGTGGGATTTATAAAAAGAAAAAATAAGAAAATAAGCAATATCTACCTTAAAACTTAACCCAGACATTCACAACTTGACTGGAAGTCAGATCCTAACACTTGGAAAAAGGGAATACTGGCAACATCATCTCCTCCCAAAGGAAAATATAATTCCTTTCTTTTCCTTCTATCTTGTAGCATTTCTTATTAACAATACATGGAAATTAAAGTCTTCTTTAAAAATCCATTCTTCATAAAAGAGTTTAAATGCTTTTAACTGCTACAGGATTTTATAGTTTTCAAAACACCATCACTCATCTCATTTTATTTGATAACTACCAAAATCCTGTGTGGTAAGAAAGTTAAGACTACTTCCATTCATCAATGATGTTATCAAAGTCTATATAACTTTAGTAACATATCTAAGACCATAGGGCTAATACAGAAGTGGTAGTCATGACATTAGAACTACTTTGTCGTAGCACAAATTTATTCTTTCACTCACAGTCTTAGTAAATAGTTCCCATAAACAGTCCTCTCACTTGGGAGGCTGGTAGTCACCTGACGCACAAATGTTGTTTTTCTGGGTTGTTGCCTGAGGAAGTGGTCAGCCCATGCAGATGTCTGCTCAAACACTGTCTCCTCTTAGCGGACTCTCCTGACCATTCTATCCAAAGCACTGCCACCCGTCATTCTCCACCTCTAACCCTAACCTTACATCATTCCCATCCTATGTTCACTGAAATGTATGTCATTTACTTATGTGTTTATTCTCTGTCTCTCTTACCTGAGCTCAATGAGAACGGGGAGTGTCGGCTGTATGCCATTATATCACTACTTGGAACAGTCTGCAATAAGCATGCTGTAGATATGGTTCAAAATACAAAAGTAAAATAAATCCCTCTCTTTTATTCCTCTCATCCTCTAGTTCCTCCATTCTTGTAATTATACAAGAATCTGTCCTCTCTGCATCCCTACTATAACTGGTTAAGTTCAAATCCTCATTTTTTCTCCTCCAAGGTACTGCCATGTCTTTTTCTCAATTGGTCTCTTTCTTTTCACTTGCATTTCCTTAGGCTAATCTCTAATTTGCTCCTAGAGTGATCTGTCAAAAGAACATATTTTCATCACTTTCCTGTTTAAAATATTCGATGGCTTTCTCTACTGACACACTCCGGGTTAAAATTCCAACTTCATAGCATGGCGTACAAACCCTTCCATGTTTGGCCTGTTTAGCCTCATCTTACCCAACGCCTCTCCCCTTGACACACCTATAACACCAAACCACTTACAGTTTCTAGAACTCACCATCTTCTTCACTTCCGTACTTTGCAAATGCCAGTCTTCAATGTATCCATTTATCTATTTCACTCTCACTCAATTACTTAACCTGGCTAACTCATACCAGTTCTTCAGAACTAAGCACACATCACATCTCCGTCAGGAAGCCTTCATCAATTTTTCTTCCCCTACAGTCCTACTTTCAAAATCTCTCAGCATTTTCTCCTTCTGCCATGTGCCTTTCTTACATGTATGTCATGGTCTTTATCATCCTCTTTGGAAATCATGTATTTGTTGTCTCGCTGATTAGACTCAAGGTCCAGGTATTGGTTGAGGAAGAGAGATCATAAGCACATATACATAAGTCAAAAATTCAAGACAGCATGGATTTCACCAGCCCATGAATATTAGTGTGCAGCAGAAGATGGATGTAATCCACGAGGAATATAAAATGTGAGATAAAAAGTTGGTGAAGGACAGAACTGCAAGGAACACTCCAGAAAGAGCCAGACAGCAAGAAGCAGCATGCAGAGAAAGAACAGCAGTGAGGTGTTGGGAGAAAACTCTGGTTTTCCAGAAGCCAGAACAGCAGGCGTTATGCCTGAGATGAGTAATGTGGAATGCCCCAAGGCTCTCTGACTCCACAGAATAGCAGAGGGAGAAGCTCTAGTAGAGAGGATTATAGAGGGAAAGAGTGATGTCAAGAGAGTGGGGAGAGTGAATTCAGAGCATTCTTTCCCAAAGTTAGGATGTGAAGGAAAGAAAAGATGCAATAAAATCATTAGAGAGAAGTGTAGACCAAAGAAAAGATTCCTCAGGTCCAAAATGACTTAAGCATTATAGATTGAAAATAAAAAGAAACTAGGAGAAATTGATATAGCAAGATTCTGGACAAGGTAGAAGGAACTGAGGTTACTAAAGGAGGACTTGATCCTTCAACCTCTAGCAAAAAGAAAAGAAGGAAAGCTTGGTGTGCCTGTAGATAATTTTGAAAAGTGCACTGAATTCTTGAGGCCTCAGAGTTTTGCATTACACAGGGAGACAGGGCATCAGGGGGTAGTGGAAGGAGTTCAGATTCGGGATAGTCACTGAGAGGAATGGGAAAGGAGGCAGATCAAAATGTGTAAAAGGGTTAGGAGCCTAGGGTTAAGGCTCTGCTCAGCAGAAGGGCTGGAATTTTTCTGATTGATGCAGTGTGCAGACAGGGACGTAAGAGGGTTTGGGATATAGCTCAGTGGTGCAGCACCTGCCTGGCAAGAGCAAAGTCCTAGTTCAATTCCTGATGCCCGCCCCCCATAAAAGCAACAACCAGGGATGTAAGGCAAAGAAGAACGCTGGTGAGAGTTCAGATGACTAAACAAGGGTACAGGTTGGTAAGGAGGAAAGAAGCTCAAGGAAAAGATTGATGAAATACAAGATAAGAAAGAGGTCAAAGTACCAGACTTTGGTGTCATTGAGTTTGGTGTACTGGGAGGCAGAGTCTTCAAGACCTGATAAGCAAAGGCACAGAGGTCAGAAGAAAGGCTCTGGAGTTTTTTTTTGTTTTGTTTTTTTTTTTTTTTTGGTTTTTCTCCGGTACCGGGAACCGAACTCAAGACCTTGCGCTTGGCAGGCAGGCGCTTTTGCCGCTGAGCTAAATCTCCAGCCCCGGCTCTGGAGTTTTTGAAGAAATAAATTTTAGGTTCTGTGAGGAAGGACCTGTCAATATTGTTCAGAATAATCTCTTGATTTCTTTTATAATGTTAGCATTGGCATCAGGCAACTGAATTCATAATGGAAAGACATTCCTTATGAAGGAAGAAAAAAGCCATTTCATCCTCCTAAATGCAGACTTAGTATGTTTATTATGGCAGCGGTAACTTTTCTTGATGACATCACTGCTAAACATTTTCTTTAGTCCCTCTGTAAGACTTCTTGTTCTGATTTCTCTGGCTTGCAGAGGACAATCACTTATCACCTCCTTTCCTGAATTTCCTCAGCGTCTATAATTTTAAACCTTTCAAATGGTCTTTAACACACCGCTTTAGATTGTTAATTATCATCCTTTGTGCTGGTGTGTCAGTAAATGCTTCATATTTTGTTGAGATGAGGAAGTGGGGAGGGTCACTGCTTCGTAACGTTTGCTGTTTTTCATGAACTATTTATTCCTCCTTTGGGCAATTTCAAACTCTGAAGGTGACATCTTTGAACATGGAGTTGGGGAAAGATATGTAGTTGTGCAACATTATATACTATTTATATGTTCCACAGACATAAAACATTTTGAGAAAGTAAGTGATAGCAAATTATAGTAAAATAAATAAGAAGTGATGGTTTGAGTATTACTGCACCTGTTTTTTAAATATAATTAAATTGTGAATTTATGAAACTTAGTTTTAGTAGTAATTATAGTGTTTAACAACAGACTTCCAAATTCCTAAAATTAACTTTCATATATGAACACACATGAGCTGGCTCTGGCATACCATTGATATATCTGTAGTTCTTTTTTTCCTACTTGGACTTTTGAGCATTAAGAGGTGAGGTAATGACTTAAATGTATTAATAAATATTTGTTGAGTAATTGATTTGTTCTTGGACTAAAGCTAAACTGTGTGACTATTATTAGTTTCTAGTTGCCATGTTATCTGTTATAATTACACTGCTCAATTTACTGGAAGTATTTCCCCTGGTAAAATCATGGCTTCAGATTTGCATATGCTGGATATGAAAACTATCTAGATCTTGAAGTAGAGAATGTGACTACAAGGGCATATACCTGTGTGTGTTTTCATAATGTTGCTTTGTGCTTATAAATACATCAAGAATTTCTATCATAGTATGAAGTCAAATTAGATATAAAGATGCGTCTATTTCTTAAGTAAATTTCAATTTATATCTTCATAATTAATTGATATATCTAGATTATTGACAGTTAAAGTGATTATTGATAAAATCAGATTAATACCTACTGCATTATTCTTTTTTATTCTTTGTCCTCATTGATCCTATTTTATCTTGCACTCTTTTTCTTCCTTTGGTGGTTGGAATTCAACATTTTATATGATTTTATTTTCTCTGCTCTCCTGAATATCAATTCTCATCCTCTTTTTCTTTCTTTTAACTTTTTAAAAGTAGTTGTCCTAGAGTTTATAATAAGCACTTTCAACTAATCTGAATCCACTTTTCAACAACACTGTACAACTTCACTAGGAAGGCAAGTGCTTCACAAAAGCAAAGCAATACTAATTCTATCCCCCAGTCCCTCATTTATGCTTTCATAATTATTTTATTATGCATAAGCATACATATACATATGTGTATACATGATTAAAGACATCCTTGATATTATTTTGAACAAACTGTTACCTATTAGATCAGTTAAAAATAAGAAAAATAAGTTATTTTACCTGCGTTTTTGCTACTTTTTGATACTTTTTCTTTTTAATGTATATATAAATGTCTCATTTATATCATTTTTCTTCTAAGAATTTCTCCTAATATATCTTGCAAGTTTTAATTTGCATTGCTCTAATGGCCAGAGTTATTGAACATTTTACAAATTCCTCAAATTTTTTTTTACCTGAGAAAATTTTATTTCTTCTTCACTTCTGAAGTGTAATTTTGCAGGGTAGAAAATTCTAGGCTAATTGTTTTTTTCCCTTCTCAGCACTAAATATTTCATGTGACTTTCTTGCCTGTAGAAATCAGATGTAATTCTTATTCCTTTTTTTCTCTAGATAAGATATTTTTCTCCTCTGTATTCATTCAAGATTTTTTTCTTTTTTTTTGTTTTTCTTGGAGTTTGAAAATAATATGACTAGATATGTACATATACATTTTTTTGGTTTTTGGTTTTTTTCTCTGGTACCGGCAATCAAACTCATGATGTTGCACTTGCCAGGCAGGCGCTGTGCCACTGAGCTAAATCCCCAGCCCTGATATATTTTGTTTTGAGGGGACAGGGTGTATGTGTGTATTTAGCATTTATTCTTCTTGATGTTCTCAAGAGATGTTTGAATTAGTGGTTTTGTGTCTGATATTAATTTGAGAAAATTCTCAGTAGATATTGCTTAAAATATTTCTTCTTTTCTCACTTTCTTCTCTGTTGGCTCCATTACCTGTTATACCTCTTGTAGTTCTTCCATAGTTTGTGGGTATTCTTTTTTTCTACTAACTGTTATATTTTGGAAGTTTTTACTGATATATCCACAAGCTCATAGATTCTTTCCCCGACCTTGTTCAGTTTTCTAAGCCCGTCAAAGGCATTCTTCACCTTCGGTAGTGTGTAGATCTCTAGCAATTCCTTCTGATTCTCTTGTAGAATTCCCATCTCTTTATTTACATTATACATCTCATTTTGCATGTTGTCTACTTTATCTATCCCAGCCCTTAGCATACCAATCCTCAAAAGAAAAATAAATTTTCTGTCTGATAATTCTGGCATCCCTGCCATGTTGAAATCTGTGCTGGTGCTTGCTTTATCTCTTTAATCTGTGGTTGGTTTTTGTTTTTGTTTTGCCTTTTAGTATGGTGTGAAGTTTTTTCCTGATAGGCATGAGGTACTAGATAAAAGGAGCTGTTACAAACGGGCCTTTAGTAATGTGAAGGTCAGATCTTGGGGGAGTCGCTCGCTGTGCCCAATATTCCTATGATTAGGTCCCAGTCTTTCAATAAGCTTGTGCCTCTGAGCTACGTGTGTTAGAAATGCTTCTCATTCTGCCCGTAGTTGGGCCTGGATGGCCAGAGTGGGCTGGAGCTGAGTACTTCCTTTCCTTCAGGTTGGCTCCTTTCTGAAAAGTCTGATAGTTGAGGCTCTGGGAACACAGTTTCTCTGGTGGGCAGGCCTTGTTAAGAACACAATGCTCTGGTGTGTTTCTAAATAGTTCCTTTCTCCTCCCCTTGCCAAAAGGGTAAGGTGATCTTTCTCTAATATTTATTGTGAAAATCCAGTTGAGTTCCTAGAGGTGAAAGCCACAAAAATGAGAAGACTCTTTCAAGTTTTTTGTTTTTCAATACTGGGGATTGAAACCAGTGCCTTTACAATGGGCTTCATCGCCGGACTTTTGTTTTGTTTTGTTTTGTTTTATTTGAGACAGGGTCTTGTTAAATAGCTGCATTGCTCAGATTGAGCTCCAATTCACAATCCTGTCTCAGCCTCCCAGAGCACTGAGATTACGAGTGTGCAACCACGCCTGGGTGCAAGTTTTTGACTCTCAAAATTGTCCATGCTGAGTTCCTAGAAACTTGTCAGTGACAGATTAGGTTTCTCTACTCTGGTATGTTTGCCCTGGGGTTTCTGCTCATGGATTTCTGCTCTAGTAAATGGTGGTACTCAGTATCCGCTTCCCTCTTTCCCTAGTTTGAAGGCAGCAAAATTTCCTGTGACCTCACTCAGCCAACTGATAGTAAGAGAGTTGTTGACCTCAGTTTGTTCAGTTTCTTGCTTGTTATTAGGAGGGAGTAACCCCTTCCAAGTTCCTCTCATGCCAGACTGGAAACCAAAAGTCTCAATGCATTTTTCTAAGCTATCTTTGTGGAGGTATAATTTACATACCATAAAGGTCACCATTTATACAAGTGGGTCATTCATTGGTATACTTGTGGAATAACTACCACAAAAGGTTAGGAGCCTGGCCTGGGGATGTAGCTCAGAGGTACAAGCACGCCTAGCAAGTGCAAGGTCCCGAGTCTGATTCCCAGTACCAAAAAAAAAAAGTTTAGAAGCCATAAATTTCATCACTCCAGAAAGGTTCCTTATGCCCATTTAGTATTCTTGTTGCTATCACCAGCCCTAGGCAACCAATGACCTACTTTCTGTTTCTATAAATTTGCCATTTTGAGCATATCATAAAAATGGATTCATACAACATACAGTCTTTTTATCATCCTTGTATAACTTGGCACAATGTTTTTGAAGTTTACTTATCATAGGATATATCTTAAGGAATTTAAAAAACTAAAACTCAAAATGCAGTAGCTGTTTTCTAGTTATTAATAAAAATCTAGCCAGATTGAAAGTGAGATGGAACATTATTCAAATTCACCGTTCTATAAAACATCAGGTGCTATACGCAGATCGTGCTCACAGGCTAGTCAAAAACATGATTTTTGAAAGTATAAAGTTTGACCAACAGAACAATATTTGTAATAAACCTGGATATAGCTGTACTGATTTATTCCAGTGGGTTATAGAAATAACAAAAAAACTAACAAAATTGTTATGAGGAGGACACATCATATTTACATTGCATGAGTGACTTCAATTTCCTCCTGAAGATCCAATTAACCTTGTCCAGCGAATGGAATAGTTAATATTTAACATCTGATCCCTCTTAAAATTTCCAAGGCTTACTGTAAAACTCTTAAAGTCACAGAATGTTCATGAATATAGACTGCTGTACTTACAAATTGTCCCCAAGTCTCTTTAAGGATTCAAAAACTAATGAATGAACACTGTCCAAGGAGCAGGATCCAAAGCAATTCAGGGATGGAATATATCTGACTTTCATAACCCAGTCATTATGCAGCTTCCTTTTAACGCTAGGAATGAAGAAAACATGGGCTATTATGTTAGACACAGAAACACATAATATTGAAGATTTTTTTCTAAAGTAAACATGTATATTTTTTCTAAAATACACACATATATAAAAGACACATATATATGTGTGTTTATAAAAATGGATTTGTGTACACATGGAAACATAATTTTTTCATAATATATCATAAACATTTTCTATATTAAATATATTTCAAAATATAATTTAAGGGGTACAGGACACTAATGTGGTTACAGACCGATTATTGAACATCCTTAACACCATAAATATTTCTCAGAAATATGAAGAAAAAATGTGTTTTATGACCCTGATGTGCTGCCTACTGTGCTAAGGAGGCAGGTAAGAAAGATATTTTTATATATAAATATCATACATATGTATTTATAAATATTTATAAATATGTAAATACTTATAGAATTTATAACGTTTATATATCTGAATTACTTTTGTAAATGGTTAATCATTTAAGTTAGTTACTCCCTTACTTTTGGGCACTAGATAATTTACCATTAGCAATAAAGCTGTTGTAACCATACTTATGGCTTGGAATACACAGGTTTCCCAGATCCCAAAGCATGACATTTACGAAGATGCTTGATGCATCTTCCCCAATTGCTTTCTGGAAAGGATCATCTGACTCACTCTTCTCCCACCAACAGTGTGCCAGGGTGCCCATCTCACAGTGTCTTCCTATTTGTAATCTTTTTCAGTTTTATAAGTGAAAAATTCCCCCCCCCCCCTCCGGTACCAGGAACCGAATCACGACCTTGCGCTTGCCAGGCAGGCGCTTTGCCGCTGAGCTAAATCCCCAGCCCCTATAAGTGAAAATTGATATCTGATTTTCAGCTGTACTCCCTTGGTTAATAGAGAAATATAATTCAATATAAAATATATGTTTTTCTACTAACTCAAGTAATAGATAGCTTAGCTGTAAAAACTTCAAAGACATTGCAAGCATAAGGAAGACCAACACAATCAATCATTACCTCATCAGTCAGTGATACCGCTAGCATTTTTGTCTGGTGATCACTTTGGAATGTCCACTGACTGTTTATTTGTACTACTGGTGCATGTGTGTGAATATCTACTCATGGCCTTTGATCATTATTCCTTTGGGGAGTAATTGTTTTTTAATTAAACTCTAAGACCTATAAAAGAACATTGACCAGTTGTCTGTAATATTTGTGGTAGACATTCATTTGTTTTCTACTTTTTAAATGGATATCTTGAAGTCCAAGAGGTTTTCATTGGTATGTAGTCAAATCTATCAAAACTTTTATTTGAATTCTGTATCCATTGCTTTGATGTTTAAAATCTTCAGTATTTGAGTGCTAGTAAATATTCACATGTATAGACTTTTCATGATTTAATTCATTTAACTCTTCAATCTATTCAAGTATGTGGAAGTTGTATTTGCCAATAGCACTTTAAATAAGGAATTTCAGTTGCTAATTTTCCTGTATATCTTCCCTATTGTACTGGAAGTCCCTTGAAACGAGATACACTTCTTGTTCAACTTTGACTCTCAAATCTCCAGAATAAGATCTGGCATCTTCTTTCTGCCGTATATGATATGCCATAAATAATTACTCTAATTATTAAAGCAAGTGGATCATTCTTACCTTTTAAAGTTCTTCGAGTCTAAGATATGATTTTGCAACTTCTTTTTGATTTTTGTCTGTTTTAATCCAAAGTCATCACTATTCACTGTGAATCTGCTCACAAAGCCACCATCATCCCCCAGGAGGATGTCTTCTCGGCAGAGCTGGTCAGGCAGGGGCACCACGCATACACACAAAAGGCAGTGATCCATGGGCTTGATGACAAAATAGTTTTCCTAGGAAAAGAGGAATGTTTTAGTGAGTTATTACATGGCTCTAATTAATAAATATTGCCAGGGCTGGGGATGTAGCTCAGTGGTAGAGTGTGTGTTCAGCATGCACAAGGCCCTGGTTCAATTCTCAGCCAATAAAAATAAAATAAAGTAAAATACAATAAAATAAAATTCTCCTACTGGTGTTTCTTATTTTAGATACTCTCAGAGTGATAAAACGACATTAAAAAAATAGCAAAATTAATAAAATCAAAGTTAATGAGCATGCACTATGAACCCAACATGATGTTTTACTAACTCATTACTTAATTCAGTTAAGTAATAAGATTTCATGATATATTACTGTGAATGGCCTTCTCTTGGATTTGTAAGCAAATATTAACAAGAAATTTGGAAACGTTCAGCTGTTACCAGATCTCTGACATAAAACTGGGTGGTAGAAAAAAAATCAAGTTTTGGAGTCCCATGTATTATATAAGGTGTTGTCAGGGAAAAATTTCTAATATCCAGCTTTATCCAGAAATATCCAACAAGCATTTGTCAAGCATTTGTACTACTGAATGCAACTACTGCAACTACTGCTCTTCCAGAACTTCTATTTCTCTAAGATAGAAGAAAAATATTTTTTAAAAATTTCGGTACATGTCCTATTTCCATTAGAATGAGTAGGAGCTAAACATATTCAGAAGCTCATTTAGTCATTCCACAAATATTTACTGAGACTCTACTATATGCCAAGAATTATTCTAAGTATGGCTGAAGGTGATGAACAGGACAGTTTCTGAGTCTGTGGAGTAGAGTCTGTATAAAGTGCAGAAGCCTCTAGGTCTCAGGATCAGGAAAAGTGATCAGAATCAGGATCTGTCCATTACTGAGGTCCCTTTGACTTGGGACCTCAATAATGGAGAGAAAAACAAAGAGGAGGTTGAGAGAATGAAACTCTAAAAGGAAATAAATGTCAGAAAGCAAGAGAAGAGATCATGGAGTGTCGTCCTGGCCAAGACAGGAGGAGATGGGAATGTCCTATGCAAAGATTTTCTTCCAAGGGAGCAAGGAAGAAAGGAAGGAAGTAGAGGTGTTTCTAGTTAAAGCAGCTGGTGGGAGGACTGGACTTTGAAAGAGGACAAATTATACAGTCGGTCTTCTCCAGAAACCAAGGGCAATTCCATGTGCTGAGGGGGGGAGGCGGAAAAGGATAATGGCATTTTGGAAGACCTGCAAGGAATGGGAGAGCGAGCTGACAAGAACAAGCACAATGGATGGAAGCCACTGGGAGCTGGGCCGAGTGTGCAGACCGGCATTTGTAAGGATGCCAAGCAGGACGGCTCAGTCGCTTCTCAGCCTTTTGGCTAAGATCCAGTGCAGAACGGCTCCTACTTTTCTGCAGGAGTGCTCAGCCCCATGAAAGGCAGAGAGGGCTACAGCACCTATGCGCATTGAAAGGTGAATGGCAGACAGCAGAGGCTGAGGGTGACAAGTCCAGATGATCCTCCTGGGGTGGGGACAGAAAGGGAAGCAGAAAAGGTTCCTGGAGATGGGAGAAGGAGTCTTCAAGGAATCACGAGATTGAAAAAGCAACAGTGAAAACGGGACAGCTTGAGGGAGAAATGATGATCAAAGTCCAGACTGAAGTTCAGGGTTTCAGAAATTCATACAGCCTAGTGCAAAATGCCATGAGATGATAACACACTGCGTAATAAAGTACACCAGGAGACAGATTACAGTCTTTGACATCATTTGGTATTAGTGGTTACGTTGTTGACAAATTGCACTAAAAGTTTGGTTTTTCACAGATGCTAGGGACAAGTAAACTCAGAGGAAGATTAGACTATTTCTTAATACCCCCTGTCCTTCAAGGTCAGCCCGTTTTCAAAGTTTTTTTTATAGCCCAATGCTCATTAATCTCACCTCTTTCTGAACGCCTACTGTGCTTGCTCCTTTTTTATAGCATAACTTGATGTTCCGTTACATTGTATGCTATGTTTATTCATGATGTCCTTCAAGACTGAATGGTTTTTGAGTGCAGGGAACATGTTCATTACTTTCAAATGTCTGCAAAATCTGAAGAATCACTGGATTGGTAAACTGGTGACCTCTCACCTATGGAAGGGCTAACTCATTGGATTTTTTTTTTTTTTTGACAGATTTGGGCATTTTAGTAATTTTCTTTAATAAAGCTGGACAGGAAAGAGAGGCTTTAAACTTGATAACACAAGCATAACGAGAAAGATAACACTTAAATGATTAAGATATGATTCATATACGTACCAATTCCCTAGGATGGATGTAATTATTATGTATAGCAAACAAATACTAATAAAAAGGAGAAATTACTCTCTCCTTCTCAAAATCAAAACAAAACCCCTGAATGAATTGTATACTAAATCAGAAAAGCATTCCCTTTTCATCACAGAATATGAGCGCTGAGTTTGATCTAAGAGAGTAGTTCAATCCCCCTGTTTTCTATGTGAGGAGGCTGACATTCACCGGAGAAAGTAGATTGCTCATATCCTTTACAAGCTCTAGAAAGACAATCTCACTGCTTTTGAGTATTTCTCTTGGCACAGTACCTGGCTGTTCCCTTGAGATTTATAATCCCAGACAATGATGGTCCTTTCTGTAGTGGCCACAATTCGTTTCAGCTGGGAGAGGTAATCACATCCTGTAATCCAGGAGGTATCCTGCCAGAAAAACATAGAATCAGAGTTATAATGCATTTCTTTTATAGCATGGTGGTGGGTATTAAGGAGTAGGTTATGGATGTTAAAAGCCCCACTGTGCCGAGAAGCCTTGCAATGTATCCCATTTGGATGGCATCAGAAAAGCTTCCCCTTCTCCCCGCTTTCACCAGCACACGAATTTTTCAATACAATCAGCTGGCGACTGATTCAGCAGGCATAGCACCTGCTCCCTGATGCACATGGCAGCTGGCAGAGCAGCAGGCTTTCTCCCTGGTCACTTCTGGGAGGTTACAGACTTCTTTACATGGGCACAGAGAGACTAGGTTCAGGACAGTGATTAAGTGTTCTCTGGCCCCACTGTATGCTATAACTTCTAGCCAGAAAAAAAGATTACAGTGATCATGTACTGAATTATAAATTGAGACCACGGAGTTTGTCCTGTACTTGCCTAAAGTCACCAAGCTGGCACAGCTGGAATCTACAATAGCCACTACACACAGCTGGATGATGTCCCCCTTAGGAGGACCTCATTTGACAGAAACTGTTACACATGTTCAAGCAGGCCCCTGAATCTTTTCTTAAACCTGTTAGAAATTTTAAATGGATTTTTTCCATTTAAGACACAGAAATGCCAAGGTTTACTGCGAGTACAGACTCCTTTGCCAGGCAGTATGGAATCTTGCTCTGTAGTTCAGTGGATTCATTCTGTGCACATAAGCGGGGTGAAAACGTCAAACAGTTCCTTGCCTCTCAAAAGTCCATGGCAGGATTCTGAAATCAAGTCGCTGTGGCTTTACATCTCCCCTAATGTTAGTGTTCACATCGGTGATATGGATTGAATAAATTACAAAATTGCTCTTGAATTTTTATGTTATCAAGTTTAAAATGAAATGTTCTGAAATGATTTTCCTTCGGTACCTCCTTATTCTCAAAATTTGGATTATGTCCAGTTTTTACATCCCTCAGTAGTGGGTGCTTAGAAGATTTAGAAGTTCTTCAATTGAATTTTCCAAGGGGTAAACCAGTTTCTTAGAAATTCTTTGTAGGTTATTTAACTCCAGGAAGCAATACCTGGCTTCTCTTTCCTATTGCTCAATAAACAGAAATTTATAATCTGTGAAACAGTTTATACTCAGAGCCTATCCAGGCAGTTCATCAAGATTTTGGTTAATTGTGGAGGAAACTTCATCAAAACTCTAAGTTTGATGTTCTTAGAAAATTTTAAAATGTACTTACGGTGACATTGGTGCTGATCTGCACTTTCATCTACGAATGAAGAAAAAGGATAATGAAAGCTAGTTGGCACGTTTAAAAGATGAGAATAGTGGCTCTATGACAACACAATCTCTCCTTGAGTGAATGTCACTGGTCATTCTACCCACCATTAGCTTCCTGTTTCTCCTGCCCACAAAACATTTGTCTTTGTGAAATATTGCAATAGACTGTGGTGAATAAGGTTTACACTTCTGTGGCTTGTCCTTAAGCTTGGTGACTATGCTTTAAGAAGCTTACACTTTACTAATTCTTCCACTGATCCTACATGCAAACTACCTCACATTCTTTAGTTCTTCAAAGCAAAATTTGATAACAAAAGTGGGAAATGCAAAATAATACTAATAACAATGTAGGCTTGGTTCAAATAATGCTAAATAAATCAAGGTGAACATAGAGCTGCAAAGAAAAATATAACACTGTTTTACTGAAAAGATGTTTCTCCAAGTTATTGAGTCTTCAAGAATGTTCTATCCAAGGGACATCCGCTTTTACTCAGTAGGTGTCTGCTGAGTGAATGTTATCCCTAAGCACTGTACCATGCTAGGTAAGCAACAGGATCCATCCTAAGCAGAGAGCTAGTACCACCAGCCTGTCCCAAGGTGAAGACAAATAATAAAGTATCTTAGTGACCCAGTTTCTCTTTGCATGCTAGGATAGTCTTGGGAAACATCTAGGAAGTGGCTTCCCAGAAGGAAAGGATTATGTGAAACAGAAGCAGCAGATTGGGAAGAGCATTAAAACTGTGTCACGCATCATACCACAGCGATATATGTGCACCCATGTTTGTAGCAGCACAATTTGTTATAGCTAAATCTTGGAAACAACCCAGATGCCCATCCACTGAGGAACGGATAAAAAAGATGTGGTATTTTTATACAATGGAGTATTACTCAGCTATTAAAAAAGATAAACTCGAGGCTTTTGTAGG